CTCTCACAGACTACACCAGAGGGGGAGCGGGTGGTGGCATACTTCAGCCGGGCGTTCAACAAAGCCGAGCGACGGTACTGCGTCACTCGCAGGGAACTCTTGGCAGTGGTGCTGTCCATCAGGCACTTTAAATACTACCTCTGTGGCCAGGCGTTCACGGTGAGGACTGATCACTCTGCATTACAGTGGCTCATGACATTCAAGGGCCAGAAGGGCAGGTCGCCAGGTGGTTAGAAAAGCTCCAAGCTTTCGACTTCAGGGTGGAACACCGGGCTGGGGTGCGTCACACAAACGCAGACGCTCTCTCCCGCCGCCCGTGTGCCGCCGGCGGATGCCACTACTGTGAGAAGAGAGAGACCCGTGAAAAGGAGCTGCTGGAGGAGGACACCGTCTGTGCTGCAGCTCGTCAAGTTGAAGAGGTCGTTTGCCGGGAGCTCCAGACAGTGGACGTGGCAGAGTGGAAGCAACAGCAAGAGCTGGACACAGACCTACAGCCTGTACTGCAGTGGGTCGAGGCGCAGCAGCGGCCACCGTGGGAGGAAGTGGCAGTGTTCTCCAAATCAACCAAGGGGCTGTGGTCTCAGTTTGAGGCTCTGCGCCTGTGTCAGGGCGTACTGCAGCGTGCGTGGAAGGAGCCAGCTACGGGAGAGAAGAGATGGCAGGTGGTGGTCCCGAAGGGTCTGCAAGAGGCGGTACTCAAGGTCATGCATGGAACGGCAGGCTCCGGGCACTTTGGCGTCACTAAGACTCTCCGCCGCCTTCGCCAGGGCTGCTACTGGGGGCGGTGCCGGAGGGATGTCGAAGACTTTTGTCGCCGCTGTGACCCTTGTATGGCTCGTAAGGGTCCCCCTGGTCGTTCCCATGCCCCACTGCAACAGTTTCCCGTGGGGGCCCCAATGGAGAGAGTAGCGGTTGATGTGGTGGGGCCTCTACCTCTGTCAAGCAGGGGTAACCTCTACGTCCTCACTGCCATAGACTATTTCACAAAATGGCCAGAGGCGTATGCCCTCCCTGATCAGGAAGCAGTGACAGTCGCAGATGCTTTGGTGGCCGGCATGTTCAGCCGGTGTGGAGTGCCGGAGTCCCTGCACAGTGACCAGGGGAGGAACTTCGAGTCCCGGGTGTTCGCCTCCATGTGCACACAACTGGGCATGCGAAAAACACGCACCTCCCCCTTGCGGCCTCAGAGCGACGGACTAGTCGAGAGATTCCATCGCACCATGGGCCAGCAGCTGGCCATCCTCACGTCTCAGCACCAGCGTGACTGGGACGAACATCTGCCCCTTGTGCTCATGGCATGTCGCTCTGCAGTCCAGGAGTCCTCAGCCTGTTCTCCTGCCCTCCTCATGTTAGGAAGAGAGCTTCGCACCCCTGCTGTTTTGGCGTTTGGTCAACCGCCAGATTCCCTGGACACTCCTCCAGGGCCTGAGTACGCCAGGAGACTTCAAGACCGCCTGGATTCCGCTCACGCTTTTGCCCGCGATCAGCAGAAAAGTGCTGGGGTGAGACAGAAGCGGAACTATGACACCAGGACAAGAGGGCAGCACTTCCAGGTCGGGGTGCTGGTCTGGGTCTACAGCCCACAACGGAAAAAAGGCCGGTGCCCAAAACTGGACAGCCAGTGGGTTGGGCCCTGCAGAGTACTGGAGAGGGTGGGGGAAGTCGTCTACAGAGTGCAGCTGCCTCCCAAGGGGAGAAAAGTTGTGCTCCACAGAGACAGGTTGGCCCCTTACAGAGGAGTCGCTTCTCCACATGCCCAAGGGACACCGGGGCCCACGGCCTCCCCCTCGACACCCCCCACCCAGGTCCCCCGGCGAGCAGAGCAGCAGCCCCCCGTCAGTGACTTAGTTCCCCCCCACTTTCTTCCCCTTTCCCCCGCCTGGACCAGAACCGGCACCCCCTGTCCCCCTGACCCCAGCCCCCCTGCCGAGAAGGCAGACACGACCCCCGAGTCGGTTCAGAGACTTTGTGTGGTAGTTAAAGTTTATAGTGAGACCCCTCGGTTCCTGTAGAGGACAAGAATGCGCCCTGGTCTCACTGGAAGGGATGGTAGTCCACCCAGACCTTCCTAGTTCAACTAAAGAAAAATGTGTTACACGTTCTCGCTGCTGTGGGTTAGTGTTTAGTTGCAGGTTTTTGTTCTAGTTTTTTATGTGTCCCTCGTGGGCGAGGAACTTTGTAGTAGGGGGGTAGTGTAGCGACCCTGCATAGGGTGCTGGGTGTGTCACTCAAGCGTCCCCCGTCTCTCTGCCAATCACGGAGCTGCACAGTAATGCTGGTCGGTGTGCGGGCCTGTGGTTGGGGGAGCAGAGGGGGGAGGGCTGTGGTGTCGTGACGTTGACCCTGCTGTGAGTGTGAGTTAGGGAGTGGAGTAGAGAGTAATGACAAACCTGTAACCTGTAACCTGAGCTGGATTCTATAACCGTAAGCGAACAAAGGAGTTATTAAAGACAATCACTGGAAGCCTGTTTCCGACTCCCTTTGTCGAACGCTACAATATGTACGTAATCTGCGCGACTTGCGCGTCCACATCTCCACGTGCAGTGCTGCATAAACATGGCTGAGTCAGCGATAACTTTCGAGGGGTGGAGGTATGCCCATTATTTTGAGTTCGTCCGAAGAATAGACAGGAATGTGACGGTGAGGTGCAAACTGTGTCCAGGCCAGAAGCTGTTATCCACTGCTGCAAACACCACGTCAAACCTCAACAAACACCTGCAAAGAACACATGCTAATGAAGCTAATAGCTAAGGACCCCCGAACCCAGAGTGAGGATGTTGTGAGTGCGCCGCCGCCGACTCAGAAGCAGCACAAATTAGAATTTGGAGGACCGGTAACCAAAGCAGAGATGGACAGGCTTGTAGCATCCTTCATAGTAGAGGTAATGTTGCCCATTTGCACAGTGGAATCACCATCGCATCGTTCAGAGATATACTGCGCAAAATACAGATAGCAGGAGACAGAGGACAGCCATGGTCAGAGCTATCTGGATCAGTCTTATGCGACAATGGAAACTGAACTAAAGAGAACATTTGAAACTTTAGCAGTCTGCGTGATCTGCCTGTAGGGAGGGGCGGGCCGGCCCTGCGAGTAAAGTAACGAGTAAAGTAACGAGTAAAGTAACAAGTTACTTTATGTAGAGAATAACGAAGTAGTGTAATATATTACTTTTTTTTAAAGTAATATGTAATATATTACTTTTTTTTAGTAACGACCCCATCTCTGGCGCACACACACACACATCCTCTAGATGTGTTCCCCCCCTTATGTGCCCAATCCCCCCATGTGAATCACACCTGACACACACACACACACACACACACACACACACACACACACACACACACACACCACACACACACACACACACACACACACACACACACACACACACACACACACACACACACACACAACAATTTGACACATGTCCCGCTCTTATGTGCCCATCCCCCCACATGGATCACACCTGGCACACGCAATACATGTTCAGTGTCTATTCTTTGTATATTTACTGCAGTGTTTCATGTATACCAGTAGTCTGATACAATATTTACAGTTTGAAAGGATGTTAAATGAAATTTGGTGATGATTAAAGGTTTTTGTGTTAATGTAATAGCAGTTAAAACAGGACCGGTCAAATTTGACCGCGAACACCAAAGTAAGGGGGGGAAACGAAGATAATAGAAGGGTTAAGGTACATTTCTTTCAAATGAGGCCTGACATGACAGGTCTCCAATAACCTTTGAAATAAAGTAATATGGTTAAAGTATATTGGCAGACCCGGTTAAAGGAAGCTGGCCCATTCCATCTTTAAGAGGTCAGATCACACAAGGAACAAAAAGCAAAAAGCAAACGGAACTTTCATATTCTTAGGGAAGTGTAAAACATATTTTCTGATCAGTGCAGATAGCTGCCTAAGAAGAGAAAACAAGGTTGCCAAGAATGGAAATATAATACAAAATATATTTGTGTGAAAACACCATTCTGACCAGACACACAGCCCAACGGGGTATTTTTTAAAGTCTGTCTCCCTTTTAAAAAAAAAGAAAACGTTTCTTTGGGGCATTATTAATGATAAATCTCCCCGGGACACTTATTGGAAAAGAAAGGATTTCGAAGGTGATCTTTAGATGAAAAGGTATTCTTTTGGATGTCACATTTGAACCAAATCACGAATGTGTAGATTTACAGATTTAAAACTATAATTTGTACATTTGTGTAATCATGAGATAGTCAGGGGGCATGTTCAGGGGGATTTCAATCAGAGAAATAGGGGGCAAATTCAATCGTGGGACAGAACATACTTAAAAAACTTAAATTAAAAACATATTAATAACAAAAAATACATTTCGGTGAGGAATATTAGGAATGCGGCTGTAATACGGGATGTAGACACAATTAGTTTGATTTCTCTTTTTATATCTGTCACTGAATTGGATCAAGCATGAATGGGGACATGGCAGTTTGGCCTACTGGTGCCAAAATCAAAGTAGTTATTTTGATTATCCATGGTATTTAAATTTTTTTTTTTTTTTATAGTAGAGGGGGATTAAACATGTAAAGGAAGCTATTAGAAATAAGCATTAGCCCTTTAAAATGCAAAATATATCATATAATGTAATGGAGGCTTAAATGCCCCCGAATGCTAGGAATGACCCAGATGCCATTTCTCTTGAGGCCATGTGACTCAGGGCACCCCTGAATAATGGCAGTTTAAATGCAGGTGAATGAAGCCCAATCGTTTGCACAAAGGTCATCGGCCCAGTATGCAGAATATTTTGTAAAAACTAAACTAAAACCAAACTTCTGTAGAACATTAAAACCTCTGGTATGTCAGTAAATAATCATCAGAAGTATCCTGATTTTGTAAAACGAATGCCTGTCCATTATAAACCCGGCTCGATCCGCTCTGAATAAGAGGGAAAGATTGTAGAACTGTATTTTAGGATTCACGACAAGAACAAGAACAACACACAACTTGTTTCACTGAAGTTAAAAGCATCATTTTATTTCTAAATACGCTACAAGTCAAATGGCAAAACAGGAAAATCTCTTTCACTTCTTTTTTGTACATTTTTAACCCCTGAGCACCACAATCCAGCATTCCCATAATGCACTGGATTTATCCAAGATGAACTAAAGGGAAATAAAAGAAACATTTAAAGCTTCATACACAGCTAATAAAGCGATTAGTGTCTACAAACTACCAGCATAGCATAATACAAAGTAAACAACATGTTATTTGATTACATAAGTCAATTCTTTTTTTTCTGCATGCAGAGCTGTCACTTTGTCTTTGCTTGTCTGCTCTGCCTTTGGTTATGACCTAAAAATCATGTTAACGTGGTCACAATTTGAAAAACTCTTTGGTGAGAAGAATGCAGTATCTGATGTGTTCAGTGGCATCGTTCAGCAGTATGTACAGCGGGTGTGGACAGGGCTGACCTATGAGGAGCACCTGGATCATGGAAGTAGAAAATGTACACTGTGAGCCCCGATCCAGAGGCAACATGTGCACCACCATCTTGGACAGCCATCTCCTGGACAATTAAGTTCGTTCTTTGTTTTGAGGGAATGGAGACAAAGGCGTTGCACTTAGTTACCTTTAAGGTTACATGTCTGTATTGACTTAAATGGAAGATGTTACTTCACCTTAAAAGTCTCCAAGAAGAACACCACCCAATGTAGTTCCAATTTACAGAACCTCTGACTGACTGATCCAGGAACGTGGTGCACGTATGCAATCATAATCTCAAATGGTAATAAGGTGAATGGACCTAAGACTATTCTCCCTAATCTTAACAGAGGGAGAAGCAGCTACTATTTTATTTTATCTTTCTATTAAAATGCTGTCATCGGCTCAAATTCTTGGTGTCTGTGCAGTGGTTGGGTGTATCACAGGTAAAGAAGAGTCAGAGTTCATGGTGCAGCAGATGGAACCATCAACCTCCAGAACCCTGCATACCTGCAAATAAAAATAACTTCTCCCACTTTGCGACTCTATAGAGTGGTGCAGGATGAGTCCTATAACCGGGACATTAGTTAGCATTTTTCCAATGCCAATTCTCTGAAGTCTTTTTAACTGAGACTACTAAAAGTCATCAATCTTAACATTAGCCGCCTTTAGCTTAGCGGTGGTGACGAAAAGTCCTGCAATTGTGATGTCTTGCTATCACATTTATGCTTCAAAAAACTAAAAAGGGGTTTTAATATGTGTAGTTTATCCTGCTGAACAAAATGTGTAAAGGTGTGTTTGCCACACATCTTATTTTCTGGAACCAAATCCAATAGAAATATCCCATTGCTTTTTTGTCGAGCGAACCCTTGCGATGCTAACTACCGGATTGGCCAACACAAATACATCATCAATGCACCACTCTACTGCAGTACTGAGGTCCATTTATACTGATCTGCTATCAGTGTTTCAGTGTTCAGGGATGCAACACAAAGTGTGTAAGGAAGGGATTCTTTCTCTGAACTTTGTCTACCTGCACATTTGTCTGATTGCTAGAGAACACATTTCAAGTAAACATGAGAATTATAAAGCACAACCACCATCTTATTGGCTGAGGATTGTCCTCTGCTGCACGATTGTGTTTGTACAAATTCAACATCACCATCTATACATACAGTCACATAATATATTATTAGCTTTATCACCAGTACTCAGCCTAGAGTGTTACACTGTCATCATAAGCTAGTCAAAGCATTTTAAATCAGGAACTGTGAACAATCTGCATGAAGTCAGACCAGGAGATCAGGTGAGGAAGACAGCGACTCAAAAGGGATCAACCTCTGGGGAACATGAATCTGCTTAGTACGATATTGTGAACCTGCCTGTTGATACGTTTTGTGAAGTTCAAAATGTCGGCTGGTGGTGTTGCTAGAGTAAAGGTGGGGGTGGGGGTGGGGGTTGGGTCGAGAGGAAATTCACAGCAAATGTAATCGAAACGTAATTTAAGTCGTCTAAATTTGCAAAATGATCGAATGTATTGGCCCACCTTTGTTTTTGTTTTTTAAATAAACATTTAATAAGGATCCTTACATTTGCTTCACAGAATAGTAAGCCACACATGAAGTGAACTGGACATTACAAAATGGTCAATGCTTTCTGCTGGACAAGCTTCATTTCCAAATGTCCTCAAACATATTTTTGATATTTCTTGTTATTTTTCAGCCAATATGATATTTTGGGCTATGAGCTTATATCAGCTGATACATATTCCTATCATTGTCTGACTTCAGTGTAATGGTACACTCTCAGAGTCCTTTACTTGCTTTTCAACTGCACCTTACAGTCTTTCTGGAAATCAGAGCGTCTGACACCAATCTGAGCCATTCATTGTTCAAGCTGCTGTCCTCCTCCCGCTGTATGTTCATGTTCTCATGCAGATGGGATTCATTTGACAAGCGTCCCTACTGTGTTCCACAAAAGGCTGTTTTGTTGCGCCGGCACAACACCCAACGTAAAAAGCACTTAGAACATGTTGCTTAACTAATCTATTGATTTGTCTTTGACTGAAAAGCATTTTGTGTTCACACAAATACATGGATATGAAACACCATGAATACACCGGCAATAAAGAGTGTGGACATGCTTGTTGGCACAGTCTATAACAAATGAGGTAGATGTGTGTCAATAAAATATTCCCTTCTTTGGTATAATCATACAAAATATGAAAAAAAAGAAAAATCCAGTGATCTGTTGAAGTAAAACATTGGTTTTCAGGTGGCTGTACAATAAAAAATAAATGAAATTTATGAGGTATATCTTGTATTCATACTTTACTATGACTATGTACAGGGAGATTGGTGAGGTATCTGCATTCCAGAAAACTCTTCAAAAGGGTTTGCAACAAAGTGGTGGAGCTGAATGCAACGTTTGCAGCATTGAATATAAAACATAATAAATAAAATCTGCAATTAAATGCTTTAACAGACTTAATAAAAACCCATATGTTCAAACTAGTTCCCATTTCCCTTCATAATAAAGAAAATATTTGATATCTTATCGAAAGCTGAGAAAGAAAGAGAGAACTTAAAGAGGGAAGAGCTTTCTGATGTTAAACAAGTGCATTGCTAAAAAACGAAACCTAGGTTCTGTTCACAATATAAAACGTGTGAGTGATAACAGTTTCCTGCAGACGACACGTCTTTGTGCGCCTCCTTTATTTCCGATCGCTTGCTGCCTCGGGCTGAAGCGCTCTGCTCCTTTTCTCAAAAGAATTCAATGCCATACAAGCACTCTCTTGATTCATCTCTTCCCAAGGCTATGTCAGCTTTGTGCTTATTATGCATCTTATATGTTAACAAACACCACTGATATATTCTACATGCTAGTGGTCCTGGCTCTCCTCATTGTGCGCTGCAGAAGATTTCTTCAAAGAACAAATGCAGTCTCATGTGCCGCAGCTCTACCGACTCAGCCTCAGCACATTTCTGTAAGTATTTCTGACCACAACCATAACAGTGGGCCAATGATGTCGATCGCAACATTTGCTCTAATGAATGAGGAAACCATTGCACCGGAACAATGTCTGCCATCACATCAATTCAATCTGTCTCTGTCCACTCTGCAAGCGAGAGGACAGTTTTTAAAGAAGTACTTCTCTTGTCATTAAGCGAAGGAAAGATTCTCTGTGATCTTGACTAACTATCTTGTTTTAATACTAATTTAATATTGTGCGATCTTTAAGAGCAAAGAATGCATTCGACAAGTTTTGTGATCAGGCATTTCTTGAGTCAAAAATCAAGTTTGTGATAAGAGCAAAAAAAAACATAGGGGGATAAAGAATAAACTAATGTTGTCAGCAGCCTCCTAAATGAAGAAGACTCCTGCTGAGGTCCTTCTACAGAATGCAGCTGTTTGTTACATGTTCACCATGTCTGTCACAACACTCTGACAAAACTGAAATGTTGACTTTATCTAAATGTACTATGACTACAGATTTCACATAACTGTATTTGTTTACTTGAAAGTAATAATATGAAGTTACAAAATATTAGGTTCAACTTATTATTATTGGTTTCAAATAACCTAATGAAATAATGTGAAATTTGTTCACAAAATACATTTAATTGAAAGTCTGAAAGTCAACGTTTCAGTTTTTGAAGTGCAGCAGATGAGAAAGTGTGTGGCTGGGAGCAGACTATTTCACGGGAAGGATTCTCTCTTTATCTCAGCTAGCTGTCATCATTTCTGACAACAGCTAACATATAAAGGCTAATAACTGTGAGCCAAATGCATAATAAACTCTTCCTTAATGTGGTTGATGTCCCAGAATGCAATCTACAATACAATATGTAGGGACAAGAGCACCGTTAAAAAAGAGATGCATGGAAAACTGATGCGGGTCCATTATAACATTATATTAAAGTAATCAAAAATAAGAAGTTAATATTTATAAAGCCTTAGCAGAGTCTACAAAATATGTGTTTGTGAACTCATATAAATGTTACGTTTTTGAATGCTGGCTATCCCAATTGGTAGGTTCTTATAATGTGTACATCCTGGTCTGGAAAACTAACGGTTGGTGGTGCAAGTATTACATCTTTGGTGAAATCTTTGGTGAAATTGTCCAATTTATATTGTCCAATGTTGTTTTGAGCTGATACAAAAAACGTAATGTCAACAAGTTTCACATAACTGTATCAGTTAACCCTAACCCTAACCCTAACCCTAACCCTTAACCCTAACCGTTGAAAGCAATAATATTACGTTGAACCTATTTCTGATTTGCAATATTATTGCTTTCAACTAAACTAATACAGTTATGTGAAATCTTTTGGCATAAAACATTTAAATAAAGTGAATATTTACACAGTTTTTTCAGGGTAGCAAACAACTGCTCTAGTCACTTTAATATGAATTTACTTGCTGTGCACAACAAAAACCCAATAAAAAAACCTATTTTGTAGAGGGACCCTGCATCAAAATGTAGTTGTAATCCTTTTTTTGGGGATATATTACGATTACATGTTAATATTTGATACAGTTTGATACTGTTGGAGGAGCTATGTGTTAACTGTGACCTTATGTTCCCATTAGCCTGCTGGCTAACAAACTAGCTAACGTGTTTCTGATTGTCTGCTGACTGTTTAGGAGAAGAGACTGCTGGATGCACACATACATAACTCTGTGTAACCTTTTTGTTGGTGGAGACATCTTTAACCAAAGTTAGACCATATGAATTATTGTAGACAGCCTTTCCACCCATTACATGAAGATGTCCTCTGTGGACGTGCTTGTGTTCTCGCTATAATCTTTGATAACTGGAGCTTATGCTCACTGAAAACGCTGGACGTGCTTACCAATATGGATTTGTTTTTCTTCTTTGGTATCAGCTGTTAGTAGTGAGCTTCATAAAGCGAACATCATTTCCTGCTGAAGGTCAGCTGTTCATGTTATGATTGAAATGTTGCACAATAGGGACTCTTCGTTTGGCTTCACCCAGGTTTCACCTGAAGCTGAAGGGCGACCATGCTTTTGAAGTGTTCAAGACAATGGTTACACACAAAGGTCCTCAAACACACCGCTAATTCAGAGCAGGAAGAGGGGGAAACGGGGGGCTGGAAGATTTCTTGCATGTAAAAATGTTGACTACTCTTCAATCTGACCTAGAAGGATTGTGATGAAGAGAAAGCCTCCCTCAAACTGAGTGAAGGTGGCTTTCTCTGATGTGTCTCTGACTGCTTGGTGTCTTTCAGAAGATTTCCTCCCTGGTAAGTCTGGAGAGGAGGTGAAGAGGGACAGGAAACTCAGGGGGAGGAGTTTCTGTGTCCGTGGAGCGAGGAAGAGGATGAGGATGAGGAGGAGGAGGAGCGGGAGGGCTGGAACTGAGAGGGACTGCTCTTTCCCTGAGTCTGACAGCTGCTGTGTCTCCCACGCTGTCCCGTCATCGCTGCGATGGCCGACTGCCGGGCAAACAGAACGCCTGAGGAGCAGAGAGCACGTCAACAACTGACACCAGACCTGCCAGGGTGCAGGTAGCTTTATTCAACTCTGTTTAACTTTATTTAACCCTGATTGACTTTTGTGTGAATGGCCAGTTGTGGAGGAAGTATTGCTTCTTTACTTACAATACTCCAGTAAAATTCCTGATTGTAAATGTTAATTGAATAGCAGTACTCAGTTTGGTACTTTGTTCACAGTGTTATTGTATTATAGAATATTATTCATCTGTTTATACACCAATACATTTTATATTGTTTTATTGTTATCATTTGTCAATGATGAGACAATGATGGTAACTTTGGAAAATACTGTGTAGATAGAGTAAGTAGTATTGCATCATATAATGGGCTATCTACAGTAGCTAGTTACTATGAGGGATAAATAACTGTAAGAGAGGAAAAAGTACAATATTTGCCTCCAAAATGTAGTAAGGTAGGAGAATATTTAGCATCAAATTGAAATACTAAAGCAAGTACAAGTATGTCAAAATAGTAATTAAAGTACAATACTTATTGTTGTATGCTGTGCAGAGACAACATTCAAATTACATAAAATTAGCTTTACCTAACATGACTATGTAGGTGAATTTGTTCGAAATTAGGGAAACTGAATAATTCTAAAAAAAAACACAACTATAAACTAATTTGGTTAAATGTTAAAATTAAAACTACGTGTCTCAGGCTACAGTTTATATATATATATATATATATATATATATATATATACATACATACATAATAATAATAAGAAAATACATAAAATCAATGATTAGCTCAAACATGTGCACACACACACACACACACACACACACACACACACACACACACACACACACACACACACACACACACACACACACACACACACACACACACACACACACACACACACACACACACACACACACACACACACACACACCACACACACACACACACACACACACACACACACACACACAGGTAGGAACATAAGACAATAAGCCCCATCGACCTGAACTCCACAGGCCCAATTTTGAGATATTTAACTTTTTTAACTCTATTGGACTGCCACTTCATTACGATGGATTTTATAGCAAAGACATCAAATTGCGTAGAGGACTAAGCACCAGGGTGCTGCTATAACTTATTGAATTTCCTGCCTGCAATTACATCAGCAAACGGCCCCTCTATTTACCTGTGTAGACAACTCCATTTATTTCTATTGACATGTTGATGCTGCTAATGCCGTTGGTAGACAGGTTCAATGCGGTCTCTTGTCTATCATCTGTCAAGAGAGGAGCAGAGAACGAGAGAGAGAAAAACTCAATATGAGCATTTAGAAAAGGAACAGAAGAAGCAAGAGGAGCGCTCGCTGGAGTATTGGTGATAACTCAGAGAGTGACAGGATAAGGAGAGCTTTATTAAAGAGTTCTTGGGAGAAAGACCTGTCAAAAGATGTTACAGCCATTTGTACATGTCACTTATAGATGAGTCCTATTACAGCACACAGTGTGAAAACTTCTGAATAAATGTGACTGTTTCTGAAATAACAAAGGTCTTAAGCAAGGCTGCTGTGATATCAAACCATCTGTAAACACACATTTATCTGTCTAAGTGCAACTGGGTGGAGACAAATAATAGTGTTTGGATGTAATCTTTAAATGACAGTGTTTATATGTGAGGGCCAGAGCCAGACGACCAGCGTGGGAATTAACCTGGGAAAGATTCTCACTCATTTTTCCATCACGTATCAAGTGCAAAGCCCGCTATTATGACTAATACGAGAGAGGCAGTGATGCAGACAGAAATGATATCACACTTGAGCAGATAGGCTGCTTATTCTTCCTTTAGCCTCTATCATTAAGTCATATGTGACTTATGGCTTGTCAGGAGCCGCGCTGGCTGCAGCATTTTTACTCATGACACGCTGCCTTCTGCCTGTGGTCAACAAGAACTATTTCTTCATCACATCTATGGGGCTGAGCTTTAAATTACACATGTTATATGATGAACTATGTGCACATTAGTGGTCCACAGCTGGATCCCTCTGGCACGCCATTAGCTGTTTTGGAAACCGCCCACAGGGGCAGACTGTCATTTAGGTCTGATAGGAGGCAGCTCACCACCTCAGCATTAAAACACCTGATGTTAAAGGATGCATTCAAATCAGGATTACACTTGTTGAATGGTTCAGAAAATACAAAATGGGTATATCATAAACATGTAACAATTAATAGTAAAAAGACAACTTTAAAGGTGCCCTATTCTGCTTTTTGGGGTTTTGTATATGTAAATGGTCGGCTAAGGCTAAAATCCCTGTGTTCCCTCCAAAGGGAAACTGTAGTCTACCATACTGAGCTGTAACCTGAACATTTCTTAAGCCTCCGATATAATGTCTGCCAGCCATTTTACACTTCATTGTGGAAGCCATGCAGACAATTTCAATATAATTACTAATAATGATAAGGTGCAGAGGTCATGGCCCTGTAATATTTCATGTGAATTTGTTTGTTTTATACCAAAAATGTTCACTTCAAAATTAAATGTAAAAATAATTGCAGTCGTAATTTCAAGAGGACATATTCTGCTCATTTTCAGGTTCATATTTGTATTTTGTGTCTCTACTGCAGTGGCGAGCCGTCAGGGCCCTCTAGGGGCCTAAGATATTCTAAAGAATAATATTTGAAAACATAAACAAAAAGGATCTAGGTATAAAAGTCACGGCTCGCCACTGCTCTACTGGGATATGTGTCCATGCTTAAATGTTCAAAAAGCTCTTTATTTGTCTCATACTGCCTGTGCTGCAGGAAAGGGAAAACCCCAAAAAGCATGAATTGGCCTCTTTTAACATATGACTCAGCTTTTCAAAAACCCTATCTACATCAATGATAAAAAATGAATTATTGCAAAGGATGATCACACGCACCTCTGTTGTTGAGTTTGATGTTGAGGGGCAGCTGGGAGGCCATGGCCAGCAGGTTCTGCTGCAGAGCGTGCTGCACAATCCTCTGCTGCTCCTCCATCATCATCATATTCTTCTTCTCCGGCGGCTCCCCCCCCTCCAGCTTCTCTCGGAGCTGCTCCAGAGCCGCCGCCTGGACGGCCGCGGCTGCCTGAGCCTGGGCCGCCATGACTGCTGCGTGGTGGCTGCTGTGAGACATGGGGAGACCCCCCCGGCCGGGCAGGCAGCCGGCCATCATGGGCTCCTCTGGAGAGAAGAAGAACAAGAAGGTTATATCTTATAGTCTGCAGGCCTGTGCATGTCACAAGTACTGTCGGTGATATTCAAGATCTTATTATAATGCACCTGGGAGTATGTAATTATGTTTTTATTTTATAATTAATTAACCTCGTAATGTGTGGCACAACCATTTCCTAGGTTTCAGATTTCTGGTAAGATTCTTGTAAAGGTTCATTTACTTTAAAATTGATATTGCTGGGCGTTCCAATCCATTAGTATTCAAATCAACGTTGTATTATTTATCATTTGACGCCCAGAATTCTTGCAGATTTTTTAACAACATGCCAATGTTTTTGTATATATATGTTTTGTTCCCTGTGGTGACAAAAAACTGCTCCCAGGCTCTGAAACATGGCAGCCCTTTTGCTTTGACACCTCTCCATACAAATTGTGCATAATGTCTATTTGGGCCGTAATGTGTCTTTGGGTTCTATTTGCACTGTATATATTTCCATCTTATGATGTTAAAAAAATCATTTTAAACTTTACGATTGAATTGTTCTTGGTGATTTAACATTTAGTCAGATCGTAGATGCCCCTGCAGGTTTTCTGTTTAAGCTAGAGTGCTTTGTGTTGGTCATGCTGGCTGGGGAACATAAAGCCCCCCCACATGCTGCAGAAGGTGAGAAGAAGAACAACCCATCAGGAACACATGATGCTTGCAGATGCATCCTATGTAATATGTGAACCCCAGCATAACTACACTGATATCACTAAAAGAACTGTCTGATGTCTCCATGGCACGCTACGCTGATTACTCAGAGGCTGTTTTCCTCGCGGAGCTGTAATCAAAGCGCTCCTGTGCTCTTCGTGGGGCATTAGTGTGTCTTGGAAAACGCTGATATGAGGAAGTCCTGCAAGATGTTTCCTCTTTGGGGGAAATTGTGACACATATTCCTGACATGTGAACACACTGAATTCTTCTTATGTAGCCGGGGAATCATGCAACTCTTTCTCAAATAGATGTTGTGATCCCTAAAACTCATCATGTGAAAGCTTTTCTTGGACAAAGTGTTCATACGGAGGAAATGAAACATCCTTCGGGGTGACAGAAATAAATATGTATTTGGGTGTCCTGCTGATTGCATCATGCCTAGATTATTTTTATCATTATTATTTCATCACACCAACTTCATGCTTTTGTGCCAGATTTCGGTTTGTAAAAAGTACACTGCACAATGTCTGCTGAAGGGTTGGTTTGCACATAATGTTTTAAGTATCCAGCTATTAACATATGTTATCTAATAATGCCATGGTACATTCCGTTTAATGCATATTTACACATTATTATCCCCTTACTATGTCAACATGTCATCGGTATAACTCTGCGTTACAATATTTATTTTTAATAGACCTGCCTTTTTTATGGTTAAGATACTTTTAATTAAATGTATCACTTCTTGCATTCACTTCTTGAATCATTAACTAATGATTCAAATGAAAAGCCCACCAGGAAAATAAGCCCCCTTAGCAATATGACCATAAATGCAAAATATTTGCACAGGAAGTTTGGTTTGGTAGAGACAGTGATGAACTCTCCTAAGGTAGAACCAGCTGCAGTACATACAGAGATACTCCTTCTGGAGGAAACACAGGCCTTTGCAGACCATTTACATGCACTAAAACCTATAGGACACACTACAGGAAAGGGGAAACCCCAAAGAGCTTAAAAGGACCTCTTTAAAGAATGAGTGTGGAAACAGTATACTGTAAACAACCAGTCAACATGGAGGAAGTGTTGAGTTTGCTTCTCTTTTTTTTTAAACGTTCAATATTTGATTGTTTCATGATTTTAAATCTTGTGTGGTACCTTTCTTGATCACAGGCACCTGGGAGAGATGGCCAGAGTTGTGCATGGGCATGGAGAGGTGGGACATGTGCATCTTTGGTGAGGACAGGAGGGTGGGGGTGCCCACAGGAGAGTAGTTGAAGAGGGCCGAGCCGTAGCTCTGCCGCCGGCCCTCCCTCCGGTTGCTGTCGATGGCTGCCTGGAGCTCACCGGGGGAGCTGAGCCCCCGCTTCTCACATTCATACGGGTAGAGGTACTTCATATACCTGCAGGGAAGGAGAAAGGGCAATGATTTACTCTGTCACATGTTGTCAATCACTCTTTCATCAATCCATACGTGCAGGGTCGGAGAGACATTGAAAACACCGTCCCACAATGAAACCATGACACTTCAAACAGTTGAATCGTTTACAGGGTTTACCTGAAAATGCTTTCATTTAATTTTGTCACTTTGTTTTTTTATAAATAAAAAATAATAAATAAATCACCCAATGCCATCTCCCTTTAATCACAGAGGGGTTAACATGCATTTTAGTAACAGCCCGCTTTCTCCATTTATCAGATGACTTAAAACGTCATGTCAATTTGAAAATGTTTCCCTTCCTAATCCCAGCGAGTTTCCACCCAACATGTTCACACCTAACTGGGTTGATCAGCAGCTTTTTACCACTAAAGACTGCAGACAGGAGTAGAGAGGGAGGATGAAAGAAGGAAGCACTTTACAGAGCAATTTGTCCTCCAATTTAAAATGACCAACAGTTCAAATCAGTTACCCATCATGCCAAATAAAGTGTGATTAGTGATGTCATGTATTCTTCATCTTAAGTAACCAGCACCCAAACAACTGAAACGTTGACCTCAATGAAATGTATCATATCAACAAATGTCCTATTACTGTATTAGTTAGTTGAAAGCAATAATATACATTTACAATTTTAACAATAATACCTTAAATAATAATTTGATATATGTTTACTAAATTGTTGCTCTTTCCACCTCATATATCTCTCAGCTCACTGTGTGTAACTATGCCTCCTAAAACCAAGACAGAGACCAGATTCATAAAATAGACCCTCCAGAAAAACGCGATTATGCGATCGCATAATTTACCGCATAATCAGCAAAATGGCGCAGATTTTTAAAAGGGCGCATATTTATTAAAAGGTCGCATAATCCCCGCATTTTTCCACACAAAGTTGAGGGAAAAAAAAGTTAACGTGAAGTAGTGATGTCATCAGCTCGCGCAGGTAAACAACACCGTAGAGTGAATGTGTGGAACTCACACGAGAGAGAAAACAACAAGATCAGCGCCCTATAGATTATTATATACTATTATACTATTATTATTATATCCTATTATACTATTATACGGCTCTGACCAAGATGAACAAATCGAATCCATCTAATTTGCCTACGAACATTTCTGCTAAAGACCGGGCAAAGCAGTACCCCGATGTCTTGCACGAAAGTGGGGGGAAACTATTCTGCACCCCGTGCAACTGTGTGTTGGAGCATAAGAAAAAAACGACGGTGACGACCCACTTTGATTCATTCAAACATTCTAAAATGCTTTCTGCTGCTGCGGACAAGAAAGCCAAACAACTCACGTTCACCGAGGCATCAACCTCCAAAACCCTTTCGAGGGCTACAAAAACGAGGTGAGTAGCCTACAAGATTGAAGCTGGTCAGATAACGAACGAGTAAATGAAAACAGAATGAGGCGGAGAAGAGTGTGTGTGTGTGTGTGTGTGTGTGTGTGTGTGTGAGAGAGTGATTAAAATAGCCCATATATAAATACATAAATAACACTTTGTGATGTAGCTTGCTTCTAGTATGCTTGTTTATCATAGGAACTCTTTAAAAGGGCTCACTTTCATTCAGTAGTAGCCTAGTAACAGGGTGTGGGAGAAGAATCACCTTTTTTCCGCCTCCCGCATATTTCGCATATTTAGCATATTTCCGCATATTTCGCAACTTCACCGCATAAAATCACATGAAAACCCCGCATGTTTAATCGCATAATCAAGGATTTTAGCCCGCATAATCAAGGATTTTAGCCCGCGTTTTTCTGGAGGGTCTAATAAAAGCATCCTGCACCGAGGACGATGCGTGCTCAGGCAAAAACCCTACATCTTTACCTTATGTAATTATAGCAATTATCTAGCGTTTAAATAATTGTAAGTGACAACTGCTCACGGGGTCTACAGAGTTGATTCTGTCCTGGTAGGCATACCAAAAAAGGTGCAACGTTTATAAACCTCCTGAGGGTAGTGCAATAAATGCAATACAATTCAGGGTTATTTCTTTTCTACTAGAAAGGTATCAAATATTTCATTAAATACTTTTTTTTTTTTAAATAACACTTTCCTTTGATGATTGTGTGGTGAAGAATAAAGTGCAAACGCAGTGTGATCTAACAACACTGAGGCTCCAGATTAAAGGCCGAGCCCTCTAAAGACTGTAATTAGCATGAATCACAGCGAGGTAGAGACCACACATGCACTCTGCTGCAGGAAGTGAACATGACTGTGCCTTTCACCTGTCTGGGCACGTATAATCAAATAAGCCTTTGATAGGCATTTCAAGAACAAATAAATAGTCATATTTTCAGATGAATTAAAACAACAGAGCACTGACCGGAACATCATCATTAAAGGGGTCGTATCCTGCTCATGTTCAGGTTCATATCAGTATGTAGTGTCTCTACTGGGACATGTCTCCATGCTTTAATGTCCAAAAAGCTCTTTATTTGTCTCATACTGCCTGTTAGCTGGCCGTGTGATTGGTCAACAGCTTAGAGATTTCCCGCCCCTTAGCCTATCACGAACAATGTGATGGCAATAGAAGCACAAGTGTTACATAGTGATGTCATTATGTTCAGGAGAGAAACAAAGGAGTTGGAGGGAGAGTTGGTGTTCATACTCACTGTGTTCTCAGAGTGAAAGCTGCACTGGTAATGGAGGTAGGGAGGTTAAGGCCTTTGGTGATCTCACGCCATATTTTCTTATTGATGACTTCCACTAAGCCGCCTTTTTCTGTGACGAGCTTGTAGAGCATGTAGAGATCCAACACCTGCTTGGCCATGATAGGAATCCGATTCACTGGAGTCCCTGCAGAAAGCAAACACAATATCCACAATCAATTCCATTAACTTTGGTTCCTCCCATCAATAGGCTTATGCACCTTCTTATAAGGCCAATTTATCTCGAGCCAGTCACATTTCTGACAGCTCTGTTAACACCAAGAAATATAACTTTCACAAAAAGTTTATAATATCTTATATATGCATCCACTGGAAAGGCTTTATCGATTATACATGCTTCATTTCAACGACAGGCAGGAATGATCTCTTGAGGAAACGTTGAACATGTGCAGCTATAACCTCATTTAATGATGCAAGGCAACAATCTTAAAAGGGACAAAAGCTCCCAATGCTCACAGTAAATATACTGTATTTATATATAACAGACTACATATCAAACATTAAATAAAGGGCCACAAATAAACAAGGTTAAAGGAATAACAACAGCACCACAGATGAATGAGTCTGTTAAAGCCTGTTTAAAACTCACAAAAACAATCTGTAGAAAACGGAAGGTAATCTTCTATTAATGACGGCCAACCTGTCCCCTTATTAGCAGACAAAAGAGGCGCAGACAATAATTAGTATTTGCAATTTAATGTGAGGCAATAAAGAGCGAACGGCCGGCTCTTTGTGAACATTCCAAAGTGGTTGACCCTGAGATAATTAACCTGCATTTTGCTGATAGAGTTCCATTGTGCCCATCGGATTTACCATAATAGCAATCAATAGCGGCAGAAATATAGTGCAAACAACAGCAGTGGGGCCTTTACAGTGAGGGGGGAGGACAGCTCTGAAGTATCGTCTAAGGTGGTAAAACCACATCAATTAAGGCCAGTAATTACGGCTTCGTTTCGCGGTGCTGGCATTTGAACGAATGAGACACTATTAAAACAAAAGATTGATGTTCCCCTTCTCTCACGAGACAATACCGGCAGTAAATCTGAAGCTGCACTGCCTCCACATCGCTCTTTGGAGAGGACAGTGCCGGAGAGGCTTGATTCAGACAAAAAGTGATTTCAGCAGGTTACAGTATGGATGATCCTTCATAACAGGCGTATGAGTTTGTCTGAAAAAAGGAAACAGTACTCAAACGGACAAATCCAATCTTCATGATCAAAAATCGCTATTAAAAAAGAGGAAGGCACATGTTGATAAAATAGCAAATAAATGCACATCCAAGGGTAAAATATATAAAAATATGTAGCAGCATTATAAAAGTAATTGAGGCAGCAGCTAGTTAACAATAATGTGTTTCCTTTACCAGAAACGCGCTTCACTTTCAAAAACTATACAAATATAAAAACACAAATGAGGCAAAACACATGCAAAAGAAGAAATATCTAACCAAAATTGAAATCAAATGTGGAGCGTTTACTAAAAGCAGAGCATAAACAAAACGCTGCAAGTAAAAAAACCATCATAACTGTTAGTGATTTCTCAGTATATTTGAAATGACTATGTAAGCTACGTTAGCTAGCTAGCTTAACCCTTAGATGCACGAGGGACTGGACCCTACACTCTTCCATAAGTGGCTCAAAAAGGACCCGTATTAGAATAATATGTGTTTTTATGCCATTTTTGTCATTTTGGTTAAGAAAAATCACTTGTATAATATTTAGTATTATATTTTGGTTCACACTAGAAATATTTTATATTACATTTTTCACTATTTATAATTTTAGACATTTTTTTTACATTTTGAAAAAAAAACGAAATTCCATAGAAAACGTATGCGGGTCATTTTTGACCCACTTATGGAAGCTTGGGGTAGTAATACAAAAACTACAATTTCTTAAAATGTAAATTTAAAATGTGAATGGCATGATATCCAAAACATGTTTTTTGAGGAATAGCTGGAATGTGAAATGATAAAAAAATGTAATTACAAAGATACTCTAAGAAAACCACCTCACCGGGTCCAAAAAGACCCACTTATGCATCTAAGGGTTAAAGCAGATCTGCAATAATATCGGAAGGAATCATGTGATCACATTGTTAAAGTAAGACAATAAAACTGACATTTTAAGTTAGTCTCAAGTGACAGTTGACAGTAACAACACAATTGTAGTTCTCATAGGGTCTGTATGAAGTGTGATAATTGTCAGGGAGAATTGACAGTCAAATGACACGATACAAAACCAAAAGCAGCAGTATATCGTCCGCTCCACCGCCCTCCTACAGCTTTATCTTTATTACCGCTGATTATAATGTGCATCCATGCTTATCTATAAAACTATTATTTTGTTGAAGACACAATAGCCAACCAAACAACGATTGAGGTAATAAATAAAAGCTCAGCCTTTGTCTGACAGAATGTGAGGAGAGACAAGCCTCTTAAAACAAGATTGATGTGCTTTCAATACCCAGGGTGATGTATTTGTCTCTCTGATTCCCTGAAAGAGATATAAGGAATAAAAGAGTGAGGATGGAGGCCTTTTGTCAGCACAAACTATCTCATCAGGTCATGTATCATTATTACAATGAGCAATGGTGGACAAGGTGGGAGAAATCCACTTTAAGAGTCTAACAGTGGTCTTCAGTTAATCCCTCAGCTGCAGAGACAGAGGAGTTTGTAATTGGAACAATGTGGAGCATCAGGGCTCTAGTAGTGCAGTAATCATCTTTATGCTTGGCTTCATCGCTGATGCGCTCACTTTGCACCCCGAGCCGATAATGGGATGAGAATTTCTCCTCCTCATTGACTTTGCTCTTTTAACCCATGAAATGAACGATTAATGCAGCGTCACAGGGGAAACCAACTGTTTATCTAGCTCTGCTCAACCGCCGAAATGAAGACGAGGAGGAGGGGGAGCACACAACCTGTCACACATCGCCATTTTTCAACACATTTCATACAAAAATCCAAGCAATAATAGACGTGAGTGTTGTCTGTGTGTCAGAGAAGGGTACCTCGTATGAAGTCAAACAGATTGTGGTAAAGCAGCTATATTTACCATATTACCCAGCATGCTAACATTTGTCAATCAGCATAAACACTAACAAGGTAAAGCTGAGACTGATGTTTGCAGCTAAATGGTAATAAAGCTAATTCAATTTTCCACTTGAATAAACTACATTAAGGATATTTAACACAATTGTTCTTATAGTGCTCATACATATTGAGATGAACTGAAGGACAATAGTGACTGTAATGCTTGTAAGCCGTTTTGTCCAATACAACTATTTGCTTTAAGGTTAAACTGAGCAGAACAATAATAAGATTTTAATTAGTATAATATAATGTTGAACTGTAGTTGACTATAAAGACTAAAACTACCATAAATACAGTCACGTGAAATCCATCCATCCATCTTCTCCCGCTTATCCGTGGTCGGGTCACGGAGGTATCAGTTCCAGCAGAGAGCCCCAAACGTTCCTTTCCCTGGCCACATCAACCAGCTCTGACTGGGGGATCCCAAGGCGCTCCCAGGCCAGCGAAGAGATATAATCCCTCCACCTGGTTCTAGGTCTACCCCTTGGTCTCCTCCCAGCTGGACGTGCCTGGAACACCTCCCTAGGGAGGCGCCCAGGTGGTATCCTTACTAGGTGCCCAAACCACCTCAACTGGCTCCTTTCTACGCGAAGGAGGAGCGGTTCAACTCCGAGTCCCTCCCGGATGACTGAACTTCTCACCTTATCCCTAAGGGAGACGCCAGCCACCCTGCGGAGAAAACCCATCTGGGCCGCTTGTATCCGCGATCTCGTTCTTTCGGTCATGAGTCACGTGAAATGTGTTGACATAATACATTTCATTCAAATCAATGTTTCAGTTTTTTCAGTGTGGCAAATAATAGAACAGCTTGTACAGGCTGGTTATTTCATGAAATACCTCCCTTCATTGTCATGGATTCAACCTCGAGTCCTTCAAGAGAAAAGAGCTAACTGCTAGCTTGTCAGAAAAGATGCTTCTTTAGCCTTCTGTTTGTGTGATTCAGAGTCAATGGTGTCTGAACAACAAGTGCTTTCAGGATCTTATGTATCTGTTTAAGAGGATTACCAATATGAAAGCAAAACAACAACTTGGTCAAACTGTCTGGCTCGAGGAATTAAGCAGCGTAACTTAGAGAGTATTATCACCGGTGTCAAACTGTGTGGGAAATAGCATATTTTGTCAATCATTTACTTAAATAAACAGTTATTATGACAGAACATGAGCACAGGCCTTAGCTTAGAAAAACTGAAACGTTGACTTTAATTAAATGTATCATGTCAACAAATTCCACATATCTGTATTAGGTTAGTTGAAAGCAATAATATTAAGTTGAACCTAATACTCTATTTAAACTTGATATTATTGCTTTCAACTAACCTAATACAGATATGTGAAATCTGTTGACATAATACATTCAATTAAAGTCAACGGTTCAGTTTTTTCAGTGTGCCCACTCTGAGAAGACTGCACTAAAACATCAAATGAAGAAAGGCGACTCAAAGGTGAGGCTGGAGCAAAGTAAGGAGGAATATTTAGTGTCACAGCGATCGAACACTTAGCCATTTTTTACAGTAACTCTCAAGTAGCCTTTTCTTTTCCACATAGTATTCTTAAGCAATTAGGTGGGGGACAAAAGTTGACTTATTTGAGAAAAGTGCTGATGCTAGTCTTCAGAGATAATAATCAATTAATACCCACAGCCCAGGGCAACAGTAAATCACCGTGGGTATTTATCAACACACAAAGGAGGCCCTCACAGCCATTGTCTGCTCCTCTCTGTGAGGATCCCATGTCTCTGCTTCACACTGAGCCACCACCACCACAAATGTGTTCTGAACATCTGCTGCATGATTCAAGCCATAAAGGTCCCTCCGACAAGAGAAAATATAAGGGAAATACTGCGCTATCACAGAGGGAATGAAACAGAAAGTTAGACACTTCTCTGGCAGCTTTATTTTTATAGATATGATACCACTTCATCTTTATCCCAAACTCATTGGCTTCCTTTTCATACAAGGCAACAGGAGTCCAGATCAAGCATCCATACATGACTGAATACATGTAACTGATAGTGATAACACTGAATTGAAATA